TTTCGTTTGCTGTGATATGCATGGGTAGAGTGCGGAAATTGAGGAATGGGTGGAATCGTGTCAATTTTCTGTAGCTCTCTGAGTGCCAAATTTCTCCTCTTGTTGTTTCACACTATCATATTGTCCGCTGAATGGGCTGGAGTATAGAATAACTCAGGACGCAGATAGCTAGAAGAAGCAATGACCTACTCTCTTCTTTGTTCACAATGTGTTATCTTGAAAACTCAAAGTTTAATGTTCGAGTAACATGTGCAATGATGTTTCGACGGAAGGGTAAAGAGGAGAATCTGTGAATTTTGTTTGTCTGCCTCGAGGTGTTCGTGATGAATCTGAGGTGCCTCGGAAATTTCCAGTGCTGCAGAAAGCGCAACAGCGATAGTTTGCGCCTAACCCTTGTGCCACAAACAAGGGTTCCTGGCCTAAAATATGAACGATCGTTCACACGATCATACCGACCAGTATTGTCCGTGCTCCGTTTTAGCCCTCCTTTGAGCAACATGTATAGTCCGCACACAAGTTTATGTGGATTATTGGGAAAAACCTTGTTAGTAGGTTCTCCCTTATTACGCAGCACGTAGCCGATATGTGAATGATGTCTAAATTCCACAGAGTTATCCGGCCAATCCAAGGATTTCTTGGCCGTCGATCTGTCGGATAAGATGTCAGGAACCAGAGTTATATTCCTCCTGAGGTCACTAGCTGCCACCCAAGAACGAGTCAGGTCCAATCACGGCATAGCTTGACCCCCTTTCAATCTGACATCTAATAACTAACCATGACAAGAAGCAAAGTCAACCTTTTCGAAGCATGGGTCAGGGGATTCCCGCAGGAATACGGAGCCGAAGGACATTGTGAATATCGAGGAAAATCTTTGTCTGTGTCTTCTGCATTGTTCCCATTTGTTCCGTAAGCCCTCAAGCTTTTATTGAATACAAATGGTCCAGCGTCCTTCCTCTACCATCGTTGCCCTGCTGTGGCTCCTTGCGCTTGTGGACGGGCAGGAGACCCCCAAGGATGGTTCGACTCTTCAACCAGCCGAAGTGCTTGGAATGGGACTCTCCCCTGCCAGTCCGTTGTTTGCACGCGGCATGCTGGATATTAGACAAGTATATACATGTGTAGATTCCGGGTTTTTTCCATGCGATCGTAGGTTTACGACAACATGACCGTCACTCGTTCTCCTCGAGTTGATGAGCAAATACTAACAAGGGTAGATCACCGCGGTTGCTGCAAATCCGGATGGGGTTGTTGCCCGACAGAGTGTTGCCCTCCGGGCACAAATTGCTGAAGAGGAGGCGGCTGCG